TTCATATCCGGCCTTATCAAAGTCTCGGCCGCTGGGCTCCGAACGGTGGGCAAAGGACGGCAGGGAGATGCGGGCTCGAGCGCTTGAAAAGGGAAAACGGGAACGGCAAGCAAAAGGGGGGGGGGGGAGCTGGGATTCATCTGCTGGGTGTCCGCCCATTTAGCAACGAAACACTTGGCGTGCTTTATTGCAACCGGGTGCTGCCGCCTGCTTTAAATAATAGCCAAGCCGCCTTTGGCTAGACAGGGGGAAAAAAAATAAAATAAAATCACGCAGCGTTTTGCGATCTCTTTCCCTCTGAAATTGCTCCATGGATTCAAATGTCCCCCCACTTCGTTTCTCAAAGGAAAGATGCCCGGGTTCCAATGATCCAGGCTCTGATGCGGAAGCCCTGACATTTATGCCCAGTTCCTTGGTTCAGAAGTGATGTGGGAAAAGCACTCTGTTTATGCTCAGAAGCCTCTCTTTGTAACTTATTTTCTTTGTTAAAATCCTATTCATTAAAACACACACACACGCACACACACAAACGGGCGCTGGGTGAGTCCTGTCCAAATGACGCCCTGGTTTCCTCATCAACAACATGGTTTCTTCATTCTAAAAACTCATTTCGTCCCGGCAGGATTGTTACGAGGATGACTGGATAACGGTCAGCATGCAATCCTGGCTACCTTCTACCTGAGAGTAAAGCCTCATTGAACTCAAAGCTAACCACAGGACAGGAACGCGCGGCATGGCTGCAAGGCTAAATAGGTTAACTTGGAGAGTAAATCTCGTTCGGTGGAGTGGGACTGACTTCTGAGTAAATCCGCTCAGAATCGCGACGTGGGAAATGGCAGTGACTCGCCTCGAGCTCTAGGGATAGCGCGGACTGCACCGAGCCAGGATCTCACCTCCTGTTTTTTGCAAACTACAGTACCTCAAAACTGCCTCCTCCAACCCCCGCCCCATCAGCGCCCGTAAGGCCGACGTTTCCTCCCTCCTCTCTGCCTCCTTCCCTCCCCTTCACCCTCTAAATCCTGTTGTTTTGTTTCTGATCTCCCTTATCTGAGTTTTCACTGCTTGCTCGGTGGCTAATTCGGAGGAAATGAGTGTCAGATCTCAGATGGAGTAATTAAGGCGGATGGGTTTAGTGCGCCCTCTTCGCCAGTAAGCAGGGATTAGTTCCTCCAGCCTCCCCCACCCCGGCTCCCGCTTCAGTAACAAGACGCAAAAGAGTTTTTAAGCAACAGACTGTTTTACTTTGGGGTAATAATTCATTGCGGTTTGGAACTGGAATGGGGGGGGGCACGACAACGCGAAATTTCCCTGATCTCAGCACACTTCGCCTAACCTCGCCCGCCTGCCTTCCTCCTCCTCCTCTTCCACCTCCCGTCCTCGCATCCCTTCTTTTTTTTGCAAGTTAAGTTCCATCAAGAAAAGTTTCCAGCCACTTTGCAAGGTGGTTCAGAAGCTCAGCAAAGGGAATGCTCCGTTCGCCTCTTGCTACCAATGATTTGTACTTAGTGAGGTCTTTCTCTCCCTGGAGGAAAACGCAACGAGTGGTCTGGGAGGGGGGCCGCCCCCAGTTTCTGGTGCTGATACATGCCAGGCACAGGGAAGATGCGGCGTTTTCTCCTCATCCCAGCCACCTTCTTTTAACAAAATCAAGTTTTCTGGACCAGCGCGCTGGCTAGATTTGCCTCTTCGGTCTTTTTTTTTTTTTAACCCCTCTTTTATACATTAAAAAAATGTGAATCCGCGAAATGCATTTCCAATCTATAAATGATTTATTATGTCTTTCTGCTAAAGGCTGGACAGACTCTGGGGAGTTCGGGTCTGCATTAAAAAAAAAAAACCCACACACACACACTTCCCTTCGCCTCCGCAAAAAGAAAAGGAAAAGAGAAAAATACATAAGGCATGGAGACTTTGTAGTATTTTTAAACCTTTGATATATTCCATATGTGACATCCGAACACAACAGCTTCCAAAGGAGGTGGGGAGAATTAAACATCCCCAAACAGACTCTCTGGTCTGTTCCAAAGCCTTGCAGCCAACTCAAGGGGGTGTTGTGTGGGGTGGAGTGGGGGGAGAGGGTGAAAGTTGGTGTTTCAGGAAAGGGAAGGCAGAAGTCCTGTCCAGGGAGGTAAGCGTTGCTGGTGGAGAATCTGGCCCCAGCCACCCGCTCTCGCTCTCTCACTCACTCACACACCGTCCGCCTGGCAACCTGAAAGGCAAAATCTTTCACATGCCTCTTCCAGAAGGCGAGAGAGGCTGGCTTTCAGGCTGCGTCTTACCTGCCGCTTGCCCCCTGACTCCGGATCCGGCCAAGTACCGAAGCAGCAATGCCCAGAGTAGAAAAAACGTATCCATTTTGAGGGGTGGAGGCAGCGCTTTGGCGGCCGGAGGGCGATCCCTGCCCGGGCGACGTCGGGAGATGAGGGGCGCCCTTTGCCAACTGTCAAGTCCAGTCCCCTTCCTTGGATCGGCGGAGACAACACCAGCTTTCCCGGCGAGTTTCCTTGGCCACGAGGCGAGTCCTCTGTCTGCGGGGCTTCCTTCCGCGCCCTCCACGCGCCTGAAGGCTCCCGACTTCCCCAAAAGGATCCGCGAGCTGGAGGGGAACTCCTTACATTCAAGGCGGCGAAGGAGGCGCCGGCAGCTGCTTATGAAGACGCGCACACCGAAGGACACGCGCGCGAGCG